TTTTTTGTGCTATATATATATATATATATATATAAATTTAACAATCAGCCTAAACCTTCACTTATCATTAAGCCTAATACTACATAAAAGTCAACATTTTATTTGATAGGCTTAACGTTACTTTAGAATTAGGTCTGGAATTACATCAGATCTAAGCCTTGCCTTTGTGAAATATCAGAAACCTTTTTTCAATTTTACTTTACTGTTTTGTATAAATACAGGGAGCATATACTATAACAATTTCCCAACACACACTGAGCAAACTTCCTAACTATCTAGTCTAATGTACATTCAGGGCTTTTCTTTTTTACAGTAACGACAAAAGGAAAAAAATATAATGGAAAAGTTTCTTTCTTGGTTTTTAAATGTAAAGCTACACAATGGACAGTTTGCATTGGGTTCACAGCAGGAATGGAATCCAAAATTTGGTGTTACTGCCGATAAACAGACATACCATAGAACAGTATAAACGGTTAAAATATCACTCAGTTAAAATCAAACTTACTTCCCGAAGATGGGGTTTAATTGCTTGGAAATGTAATTCTCTTTATCACTCGTTCGTTTCGAGCCTAGATTGATTACTATGTAAGGGTCAGCTTTCCCGTTTAGATCAGCTGGGTGAAGGTCTGAAGCCTGAAAAAACATTTCAGATAATAAGACAGAAGAACACAAGCTGCAAAAGTGATAACAATAAAAAGTTAATTATATATATTATTTAATTGTGTATAGTTTACATATAAACCCAAGTTCTGGAATAAAGAAACTAAAACTTATTATTCTTGCATGGTAAATTTTTCGTTCTGAAGTATTACTATAGTATTATCATTAAAGAATTTAAAAGAAACGTTGTACTACAGTCGTGGCCAAAATATTTGCATACTGTTCTATATTGATGTTATTGTCTACATGCATGGAGTATTTATTGAGTAAATGCCCGAGTAGTAACATAGAAGGTAGTGTATGATCGGACAAACATATACGGGTTGTTATTCTGGTATATATAAGTTGTTTTGAGCATTTGTTCGTCAAAACACACAAACAGATCAACGTTTTGTTCAGAAAATTTCTCTGTACTTGGTGTAGAGTCATGCCTCGTCACGAGCCAGAAGTTATAGGGAGTCAACTTGTTCGACTGTCCAGAAATGATATGAAGCGAACAGACATTGCCAGAACAGTAGGGCACCTCAGTAAACTGTATCCAGAATCCTGAATCTACTGCCCAAGATGACCATGTTTTGATCAGGTTAACACATCAAGATGTTATTGAGTTGAACCCACACGGACTTGGAATCGCGTGTTCAGTAAAAAGTTTTGAATAAAAATGGGTAAATGGCCACACAAC